GGGGGGTTCCCAAAAGGATCCCCAAACCCAGCTCAGGGGAATCCCAGGCCCATCCCCGCCCCTGTGTCTCCTCTCACCCTCTCACCTGTCCCGGGTTCCAGGTGTGGCCATGGAGGGGTTGCGGGGGAGAGGCCATGAACCCCACTTTTCCCAGCGGATCCTGGAGGAGCCTCCAGGGGAGGAGGAAGAACCAGGTGAGGAAGAACTTGGTGAAGAACCAGGTGAGGAAGAGGAACCAGGTGAGGAGGAAGAACCAGGTGAGGAAGAAGAACCAGGTGAGGAGGAAGAACCAGGTGAGGAGGAAGAACCAGGTGAGAAGGAAGAACTTGGTGAGGAAGAACCTGATGATGAACCAGGTGAGGAGGAACCAGGTGAGGAAGAAATTGAAGAACCAGGTGATGAAGAACCTGGTGAGGAAGAGCTTGATGAGGACCCAGGGGATGAAGAACCAGGTGAGGAAGAAGAAGAACCAGGTGACGAAGGCCAGGAGACCACTCAGGTGGCACCAGGAGGAGCCTCCTGCGCCCAGGTGAGGCCTCCAGGTGAGGCCTCAGCCCCTCCCCTGCGCCGGCGGAAGCCCCGCCTGTACCTGAACCCCCGGCGGCCCCGCCCCAGCCGGGAACACCTGGAGAGCCCCGAGGAACCTGGACCTTCCCACGGGAACCACCTGCAGGTGCTGTGGGGCCGCCCGGGTGAGCTGGGCCACCAGGTGAGCCCAGGTGAGCTGGGCCACGCGGGTGAGCTGGGCCCAGACGAGCTGATCCCAGGTGAGCTGGGCCCAGGTGAGCTGAGCCCGGGCGAGCCCAGCCAGGCCTTCGTGCAGCTCATCGACGAGCGCGGCGTCTACTCCACGGCCAAGCTGGTGCTGGGCGGGCGCGGCGCCGGCGCCGCGAGCCCCGCGGGCGAGGCGGAGTGGGCAGAGCCGCCGGGCGAGGAGGCGCCGGCGCCGCTGGAGATCTGTCGGGTGATCGTGGCCGAGAAGCCCTTCCAGTGCCCCGTGTGCCACAAGGGCTTCAAGCGGGCGTGGGAGCTGCTGAGCCACGAGGTCGTGCACACCGAGGCGCGGCCCTTCACCTGCCAGGCGTGCGGGGCCACCTTCAAGCGCCACTCGGACTTCAAGAGCCACGGGCTGGTGCACACCGAGGAGCGGCCGCACCGCTGCGACCTGTGCGGCAAGCGCTTCAAGCGCTCCTCCAACCTGCAGGAGCACCGGCGCATCCACAGCGGGGAGCGCCCCTTCGCCTGCCCGCGCTGCCCCAAGGGCTTCAAGACGCCCTACGAGCGCCAGCGCCACGCCCTGACGCACCTGGGCGCCGACAAGCCCTTCCGCTGCGGCGACTGCGGCAAGGAGCTGGCGACGGGCGCGGCGCTGCAGCTGCACCGGCGGCAGCACTGCGAGGACAAGCCGCACGCCTGCGGCGTCTGCGGCAAGAGGTTCACCTACGGGCACTCGCTCAAGGTGCACGAGCGGGTGCACACCGGGGACCGGCCCTTCACCTGCGGCCTCTGCGGCAAGGGCTTCAAGCAGAGCAACGCGCTGGCGTCGCACGAGCGGGTGCACACGGGCGAGCGGCCCTTCGCCTGCCGCACCTGCGGCAAGGCCTTCAAGCAGTCGTCCTACCTGGCCATCCACCAGCGCGCGCACACGGGCGAGCGGCCCTACGGCTGCGAGGCCTGCGGCAAGGCCTTCGCCCGGCCCTCGCTGCTGCTGCAGCACCGGCGCGTGCACAGCCAGGCCCGGCCCTACGAGTGCAGCTTCTGCCACAAGTTCTTCAAGGACCTCGCCTACCTGGGCGTGCACGAGAAGGTGCACACGGGGGAGACGCCCTACAAGTGCGGGGTGTGCGCCAAGGGCTTCGCCCACCCCTCCAACCTGCTGCAGCACCAGCGCGTGCACAGGGACACCTGAGCGCCCCGGGGCGGGGCGGCCGGGCCGGGGGCGCGCCCCAAAAAAGCCGGGGCGGACCCCAGAGAGCTGATGGACCTGTGTCAGGACACCTGAGAGACAGGTGAAGGGGAGCCAGGAGAGGTGTGCACCCCGAGAACCTTCAGCAGCGACACCTGAACTGCGACACCTGAGATACAGGTGAAGGGACCTTGTACCTGTGACCCAGGACAAGTCTGCACCCCAGAAACCTATTGCGGACCCCAAAAACCTGCAGCAGCAACACCTGAACTGTGACACCTGAGCCCCAGGTGAGCGGAGCCTGGACCTGCACACCTGGACAGGTGTGGTCCCCAAAACCTGTAGCGCCTGAACCACGACACCTGAGCTGTGACATCATTGACACTGGACACGCCCCCAGGACCTGTGGGACCCCTGGCACACCTGAGGCCAGGTGTGCACACCTCACCTGAGCCCTCACCTGGATTTTTGGGGTGGAACAGCCACACCTGGCGCCTCAGGTGCACCTGGGACTGGGCAAGTGCTCACCTGGATCCTCCTTCCCGGATTCCTCGATCCCGGATTTGTCCCCCTTTGGATGGGACAACTCACCTGTGGGCACCTGGACTCACCTGTGGGCACCTAAGTCTCACCTGTGGGCACATGGGGCTCACCTGAGTCTCACCTGTGCACACCTGGGACTCACCTGTCCCACCTGGGTGGTACCTGTAGTGCTGAGGGTGGGGTCTGGGCGCACCTGGGTGGGGCATATGCTAATTAAATGATGGTTAATTAATGACATCATTGGTGTTCTCACCTGATTTCACACCTGGAGGGTTTGGGGACCCCCCAAATTCACACCTGGAGGGTCAATCCCCCCTTCCCCCCAGAATTCACACCTGGACGGCTGAAACCCACAATTTTATTAATTTCCACCCTATTTTCCCACTTTTTTTGCCCCCCTCCACCTGCCCCAGGTGTGTGGGGACACCTGAGCCCCCCCCGGTGTGTTTAGGGGGGGCAGGTGAGAGGTGACAGGTGAGGTCAGGGGGCGTCGTCCTTGATGAGCTGCTGCGTCTCCACCTCCTCAGGGGGGACCCTCCTGGGCAGGTAAATGGCCCCCAGGTGACCTGTGGGGGGCGGGGACACACCTGGTGACACCTGGGACAACACCTGGGACACCTGGAGGACACCTAGGACACGCCTCAGGGGGCGGGACTCACCTTTACCTGGGGCTTCTCCCACACACCTGGTCCTCAAGGTGAGCCAGAGCAGGACCCCACTGAGTGACATCAGCAGCCCCAGCAGGGCCACCAGGGGTGCACAGGTGGGGGGCAAACCTGGTGGGGAGGGGACAGGTGAGAACCCCCAAACCTGGCCTTACATGCGCCAGGTGTGGGAGGGGTTAATTAGGCGAGAGGGGAAGGGGGAGGTTGGAGGATTCAACTTCAGTTACCTGTGCAGGTGAGTCACCAGTCCCACCCCTACCTGTCACACCTGTCCTGGCTCCACCCTTCACACCTGTCCCGGCTCTACCTCTCCCACCTGTCCTACCTCTTCACACCTGTCCCGGCTCTACCTGTCACACCCGTCCCCCCACCTTGACACCTCCCTCCCCGCCCTGTGCCTCACCTTTGGGCGTGGCGCACACGACACCTGCGGCCCCACCTGTGGGGCAGGTGCCTGGCCCCGCCCCCTCCCTCAGGCACTCCAGGAGCAGCGTCTCGGAGCCCCGACAGGTGAGACCCTCCAGCGCCGCCCCCGGGGCC